GGGATTACAGGCACGTGCCACCATGCCCAGCTAATTTTTTGTATTTTTAGTAGAGACGGGGTTTCACCATGTCGACCAGGATGGTCTCGATCTCTTGACCTCGCGATCCACCTGCCTCGGCCTCCCAAAGTGCTGGGATTACAGGCTTGAGCCACCGCGCCCGGCCAGCTATTTAATTTTTTAAAAATGAGTCATACTCCCAGAGATCCTGTAATTCCACCTCTGGCAATCAAACCCAGTAACGTGAATTAAGAAAAAGGCTCATTGAACAATGACGGTTGATCTGGTTTGGGTATTTGTCCCCTCCAAATCTCATGTGGAAATGTGATCCCCAATGTCAGAGATGGGGCCTGGGGGGAAGTGTCTGGGTTATGGAGGTGGATTCCTCATGAATGGCTTGGTGACCTCCCCAAATAATGAGTGAGTTCTCACTCTATTAGTTCATGAGAGATCTGGGTGTTTAAAAGAGCCTGGCATCTCTCTTGTTCCCTCTCTTACCAAGTGACACGCCTGCTTCCCCTTTGCTTTCTTGCCACGATTGTAAGCTTCCTGAGGTCTCACCAGAAGCAGATGCTGGCACCATGCTTCTTGTACAGCCTGCAGAACTGTGAGTCAAATAAATCTCTTTTCTTTATTAATTATCCAGTCTCAGATATTCCTTTACAGCAACACAAAACAGACTAACAGCAGCTAACTCATATTGAGTGCTTGGTATACAGCAACCATGTGCTAAACACATTTCATAGCATTTAATTCTCAAAACAACTCTATAAATATGTAGGACTGGGAGGCTAGGAATGATTAAGTGCCTTGCCGAAGGTCCCACTATAAGTGACCTCACATTCTCTAACTCAGGTCTGTCTGACACCCAAGTCTATACTTTTACCTACTACAGGTAATGACTAAACAAGTTACTAGTCATGTACTTGTAGAAGGTTAATGTTAAAAATTAGTTATAGGACTGGGCATGGGTGTCTCATGTTGTAATCCCAACATTTAGGAGGCAGAGGAAGGGGGATTGTTTAAGCCCAGGAGTTTGAGACCAGCCTGGGCGACAAAGTGAGACACTGTCTCTACAAAAAATAAAAAACTGACTAGGCATGGTGGCATGTAGTCCCAGCTACCCGGGAAGCCGAGGAGAGGGGATCACTTGAACCCAGAAGGTTGAGGCTGCAGTGAGCCATGACTGTGCCACTGTACTCCAGCCTGGGCGACAGAGCAAGACCGTCTCAAAAAAAAAAAAAAAAATACAGTTATAAATACTATTTCACAACATGCTTATGTTTAATATTATGTGAAAAAGTGGAATACAAAATGCAGTATAATTGTTTTAAATATAGAAAAAAACTGGAAGTAGACATGGTAAAATGTTAACAAACAGTAAAGTGACAGAATTAGAAATACTTCTTTTTTCTACTGCTGTGCGTTTTCCAATTTTAGTTAATGCATTAAACCCCCATGAACTCCCTCTTACCTGAGGGATAAAAACCAGTTACTTCAGCACTGCCCCTAAGGACCACCAGAGTCTGCACCACGCTTCCTTCAGCTTCCCCCTCCACCCCGTCTATCCTCCAAGCCTCGCGATCTCCCCGTTGCCAGGAAAACCTTTTTCCCTCTTCCCCACCTGCCGAGTTCCTAGTCATCCCTTAGGACCCAGCTCCATCCTCGATACCTCTGTCCCGACCTTCTGGATACCCTACAGGTACAAGTCCGCCTTACTCCGGGGACCCAGCAGCCCGCTGTCCAGGAGGCTGCAGGTGGCCCCAGGGCGCCCCGCCCGCGTGACGCAGCCCACGTGTTCACGGCCCGGCCCCGCCCCGCGCTCGCGCAGTCCCCTTCTCAGGCTGTGTCCCCTTTTCAGGCTGCGCTGGCGGCGGTTCTGCCTCCTTCTTAGGCAGGTGTATCTGCGCCGCGCGGCGCCTCCGTCACCTTTCACTTCGCTGCAGCGGCGCCCCGCCCACACCTCGACGCTTCGGACACCCAAAGAGTCGGAGGGTGGGAAAGTGCGTACCTTCTGGATCCGCTTTAGCGCCATCCTACCCCGCTGCCCGGAACCCTGACGGCCGGGCTGGGGCTGCCTCAGGCGGCCCGCTGCCGGGTCAGCAGCCAACGAGCTGCAGGCTGGGAGCCGCCGCCTGCGCTTGCGCGCGCGGGGCACTGTGGGGCCGTAGTCGCCGCGTGCCGAGCGTCCTGGCGCGGCCGAGGGGAAGCCGCGGGGCTGCCCGGTTATGCTGGCCACTCTCACCTGGTCATGTGGCTTCCACCATTAGACAGCAAGGGCCTGGAGAGGCCAGCGAAGAGGAGGGGCTCGTTGGCTTTATGGAGACGCACCGAGCACCCTCAAGGTGCCACACGCTCGCTTGCTCCCTGTCCCTACCTCCTGGGCGTCTTCCCAGGCTGTCATGTAACCCCTGACGTAGGGGTTCTTAACTCTGTAAGTATATATACCCTTGTACGCCCTATGGCTGTACAGCCATTTCCATGTAGATGTCTGTGCATACATGCACACACACAACTCCGCAATTGTGGAGATCTCTGTGTTCAGTCGTACCTCCCGTGATCTTGCACTACCAACGTTGAGAACCAAGGCCTTAGACTATGCATGTCCCAAACTTAATTATTTGTCTCCTTCCTATTTTCCCAAGACTTGGCAGCCTTCTAGGTCAGAGTTGTTCAAACTGAGGGTTATGAACTAGTGTGTCACGGAATCAATTTAATAGGTTGCAACCAACATTAAAAAAAAAAAAATGCCAGACGAGGTGGCTTAGGCCTATAATCCCAGCACTTTGGGAGTCCGAGGCAGGCGGATCACTTGAGGTCAGGAGTTCAAGACCAGCCTGGCCAAGATGGTGAAACTCCGTTTCTGCTGAAAATACAGAAATTAGCCGGGCATGATGACATATGCATATGCCTGTAATCCCAGCTACTTGGGAGACTGAGGCACGAGAATCATTTGATTTCAGGAGGCAGAGGCTGCAGTGAGCTGAGATACGCTTTTGCACTCTAGCCTGGGCAACAGAGTCTCAAAAAATAATAAATAAAAATTTAAAAAATAAAGTAGAATAAAATATCTCCGTTTCTTTTTTTCTTTTTCTTTTTTTTTTTTTTTCTGAGACAAGTCGCCTAAGCTGGAGTGCAGTGGCGAGATCTTGGCTCACTGCAACTTCCACCTCCATGGTTCAAGTGATTCTTTGCTTCCTGAGTAGCTGGGATTACAGGAGCCCGCCACCACGCCCAGCTAATTTTTTGTATTGTTAGTAGAAATGGGGTTTCACCATCTGGGCCAGGCTGGTCTTGAACTCCTGATCTCGTGATCCACTTGCCTCGGCCTCCCAAAGGGCTGGGATTACAGGCATGAGCCACCTTGCCTGGCCAATATCAGTGCATTTCACATAGTAAAGGTAAGAATTGTGAAAGTTTTGTTGGTGTGTATATGTAGATGATATTTAATCTTCAGACTGAGACGTGTTTGAACATGAAAGTGGGTGCTCATATAATTACCCTGGGACCAAAGCTGTAATTTGAGATTGTCTCCAGCTGGACAGGTTACATGGTCATCTCCATGTTTGTACTTAGGATATAAAATGTATTATAGACATTTCAGTGGTTGCCCAGCTTTGTCCCTGGCTTTCATGTTCCTATTTCCCCAATCTGTCCTCCACCCAACTTCATGAACTGTCTGAAATATAAATCTTACTACACTGCATTCTTACCCAGAACTCTTCATGGAAGCCCTGTGGCTGACAGCATCACATTCACTGTCATCCAGGAGCCTTCAAAATCCAGTATCCTCCACCAGGCACAGTGACTCATGCCTGTAATCTCAGCACTTTGGGAGGTTGAGGTGGGTGGATCCCTGAGTCCAGGATTTCTATACCATCCTGGGAAACATGGTGAAACCCTCTCTCTACAAAAAATACAAAACTTAGCTGGGCATGGTGGTGTGAGCCTGTAGTCCCAGCTACTCGGGAAGCTGAGGTGGGAGGATTGCTTGAGCCCGGGAGATCAAGGCTGCAGTGAGTTGTGATGGCACCACTGCTCTCCAGCCTGGGAGACAGAGCAAGACCCTGTCTCAAAAAAACAAAAACTCAAAACAAAATCAAGTATCCTCCAGCTTTACTTTCTCCTTCCTAACCTCCAGCCTACCTGACTATCATTTTTCCATCACTGCACCATCTGCATTCCTTGACTATAGCGCTCACCTTCCAAAGCCAGCTCAAGCATCACCCATCAAATGCTCCAGGTCAAGCACTTCCCCTTGGTGTCAAACATTTACAACAGAAATTTGTGTTAGTCCCTGGGCCATCCATCCTCCTACATTATTGACATGGCCTTCCCTCCCATAAAACAAGTGATTCTAGATTGTGTGAATGTTTATATATTTGTGTAAGAATATATGAATGGTTATTTATGTGGTAAGAATGTATATGATGGTTACGAAGTGTCAGATCTCAAAAAGAATATTATTTTTGGAGGGTAGGTTTACTAATGTGTTAATTTCTAAAATGTCTAACATCATTTGTGTAATTCAGGAAAAAAAGAAACAGAATTGTATAGGATAGAAAATGAAAAATTCTATTTCTATTCCGTTTGTAGTTTAGTGCATAGCTTCCTAAACATTTCAGTATGCTTATATGTAATGTTTAATTTTTAACACTGAAATAATTTTAGATGTACAGAAATGCTGGAAGAATAATACACAATTGGCCGGGTAGAGTGGCTTATACTTGTAATCCCAGCACTTTGGGAGGTTGAGGCGGATGGATCATTTGAGGCCAGGAGTTCGAAGTCAGCCTGGCCAACATGGCAAAACCCTATCACTACAAAAAATACAAAAATTAGCCAGGTGTGGTGGCGTGCATCTGTAGTCCCAAGAATCATTTGAACCCAGGAGGCGGAGATTACAGTGAGCCGAGATTACACCACTGCACTCCAACCTGGGCAACAGTGAGACTGTCTAACAAAAAAACAAAAAACAAACCAGAATAATACAGAGAAGATTTTTAAATGGATGAATTTGACTACATGAAAATTGAACACTTTTGTGCTTCAAGCAACACCAACTAGAAAACAAAAAGACAGCACACAGAATGGGAGAAAATATTTGAAATAATAGCTCACAACAGTCTAGGATCCAGAATATATGGAGAACATTTAGAACTGAATAAAAAAGACAAATAACCCAATTAAAAACTGCGCAAAAGGTTTGAATAGACATTTCTTCATAGAAGATACTCAACTGGGCAATAAGCACATTTAAAAAAATCAGGCTGGGCATGGTGGCTCAGGGCTGTAATCCCAGCACTTTGGGAAGCTGAGATTGGAAGACTGCTTAGGGCCAGGACTTTGAGACCAGACTAGGCGACATAGCTAACCCATCTCTACAAAAAAAAATTTTAATTAGCTGGATGTAGTGATGTGCATGTGAGGGCCCAGCTACTTGGGAGGTTGAGGTATGAGGATTGCATGATTCCAGGAATTTGAGACTGCAGGGAGCTATGATTGAGTCACTGTACTCCAGCACAAGAGACAGAGCAAAACCCTGTCTCTTAAAAAAAAAAAAAAAAAAAGGCCGGGTGCGGTGGCTCATGCCTGTAATCCCAACCCTTTGGAAGGCCGAGGCAGGTGGATCATGAGGTCAGGAGTTTGAGACCAGCCTGGCCAATATGGTGAAACCCCATCTCTACTAAAAATACAAAAATTAGATGGGTGTGGTGGCGTGCGCCTGTTGTCCCAGCTGCTCTGGAGGCTGAGGCAGGAGAATCACTAGAACCTGGGAGGCGGAGGTTGCAGTGAGCTGAGATGGTGCCACTGCCCTCCATCCTGGGCAACAGAGTGAGATTCCTTGTCAAAAAACAAACATAAAAAGTGGCTTGGTGTAGTAGCTTACATCTATAATCCCAGCACTTTGGGTGACTGTCTGTGGTGGGAGGATCACCTAACCCAGGAGTTCAGGACCAGCTTGGGCAACATGACAAGACCCCATCTTTACAAGAAAAAAAAATTTTTTTTTTCACCGAAAGCAGGCACTTGAAGCTGGGCATGGTGGCTCACGCCTGTAATCCTAGCACTTTGGGAGGCCGAGACGGGTGGATCACCTGAGGTCAGGAGTTCAAGACCACCTTGGCCAACATGGAGAAACCCTGTCTTTACTTAATCGGGTGTGGTGGCACATGCCTGTAATACTAGCTATCCCAGCTACTTGAAGGATGAGGCAGGAAATTCACTTAAACCTGGCAGGCGGAGGTTGCAGCGAGCTGAGATCACGCCATTGCACTCCAGCCAGGGCAACAGGAGCGAAACTCCATCTCAAAAAAAAGCTGATACTTCAAAAAATTTTAAGAACTAGTAGAGCACAGTGGTGTATGCGTGTAGTCCCAGCTATGATTGCTTGAGCCTAGGAAGTTGAGGTTGCTGTGAGCCCCATTTGTGCTAGTGCATTCCAGCCTGGGAAACAGAGCAAGACCCTGTCTCAAGAAAATAGTAACATTAATCATAAGGGAAGTGCAAATCAGCCATAATGAGATACCACTTCACACCCTCTGGGATTGCTGTAATTAAAGGGACAGACAACAAGTGTTGACAAAGATGTGGAGAAGTCAGAACCCTCACACATTCTGGTGGGACTATAAAATGGTGCAGTCATTTTTGGAAAGCAGTGTTTAGCAGTTTCTCAGAAAGTTAAATGATGCTGAGCATGGTGGTTCATGCCTGTAATCCCAACACTTTGGAAGGTCAAGGCAGGTGGATCACCTGAGGTCAGGAGATCGAGA